CCCCCCCCCCCTCCTGATCCCCAGCATCGGCCCGGGTCTGCCCATGGCGCACATCACCATCAACCAGTATTTGCAGCAGGTAAGCGGCTTTGTCCCCCCCCCCCCCCCCGTTCCCTTGCTCTTGCTACAGGCACGTTGCCCTGCTGCTGAAAAGGCAAGCGAGGCTATGGGAGGGGATAACTAGGGAAGCTTCTTCTAGGGCAGGGATGAAAGCAGAGCAGCATTTGTTTCATGTGGCGCTTCTCCCCCCCCCCCCCCCCGTTCCCTTGCTCTTGCTACAGCCACTTTGCCCTGCTGCTGAAAAGGCAAGCGAGGCTATGGGAGGGGATAACTAGGGAAGCTTCTTCTAGGGCAGGGATGAAAGCAGAGCAGCATTTGTTTCATGTGGCGCTTCAATGTGCGGAGGCCGAGATAACGACGTAGCCCCCCAGTCCTGTGATAAGATCTGTTAGCGCGGGCTCTGGCATCTTTACCAAGTCCTCTTGTGACTTCAGTGGGCTTTGCCAGCCCAGATAGACAGCGTTGCACTAGCCCAGTTCAAGCGCTAAATCCAATATCACGGCTAGTGCAGCACAGGGGGTAACTCAGGCTCTCCTGTTTCCCCACCCCTGCCACCGAGTTAGGTGGAGATAAGCCCAAGTCTCCATTTAGCCCACAATTTCCATACTGCTGTGTTTACTGTTACCTGAATCCCTGCTAGCATTACTCTGTTGCCCCAGGCTGAGAGGCTTGATATAAAGATTCCTTTTTTATCAGATGTAACACACGCTTATTTAAGCACCTTCATGAGACATGTCAACTTGATCAGTTCCATAAAAGGAGCCAAAAGTTAAATATTAATTGTTCAAGTCCTTTTCCCAGTTGCTGTGGTTTGTCATGTTTTTCTGTCTTTAGGAAAGGGTTTTCTCTGTGTTTCTGAGTGACAGATCCATACTACTATAGAAAATTTAATATAAATAAATGAATCAATATGTTGGCAAATGCATGAAGTAAAATTGTAAAAAGGAAGCATTTAATCTGTTACTTAAAATGTCATTTAAAGTAATACGAGGGAAAACATTGTGTGACATTTTAAAAATTGATCATATCCCTTTAAATAGTCATTGAAATTTAAATCTCAGGCTCTGTTGTCAGGCTTCTTAACTGTAATAACAGCCGTGCTAGATTACTGTCACATTCTCTATCATATTTTCATAGTTTTAGATTTTGCTATTGAGCATTTTGCTTTAAATATTTTCAGAGAATGCTTTCTTTAAAAAAGATGAAGTCAATATAGAGCTGAACTCATTGATTGCATGTGCACTATACTTAACTGTTTAATAATGCTTTATATCATTGCTAATATTCTTTATTGACTTTAGGACTAAATTGGTTTCTGCTAATGATATGGAAGTGGGAATATATTTCCCTGAATAGTGTAGACAAGAATACAGACAGTCCCCGGGTTACGTACAAGATAGGGACTGTAGGTTTGTTCTTAAGTTGAATCTGTATGTAAGTCGGAACTGGCGTCCAGATTCAGCCGCTGCTGAAACTGACCGCAGGTTCTGACTTACATACAGATTCAACTTAATAACCCCAAGTCAGCTGCTGCTGAAACTGATCAGACGCTGATTT